TTGTCTCCCTTTGGGCCTGTTCTCAAGAGGGCCAGTCCTTGGAAAAGGACGTCATGCCGTGAAAGGTGGAAGACCAGAGGAAGAAGAGAGGAGGCTCCGTAACGAGACAAATCGACAGTGACCAAAGCAATGGGCTTCAGTATGAGAAATTATGAGACCTCTGCAGGCTAGGGAAGGGTTCAGATCTGTTGTTCATAGGTTCACCATGAGTAGTTGGTAACTGGACACCTAGCAACATTGTAATTATAATGTATTACATGATAATAGGAATGATGTAAGGTATACTATAAAATATACAGTATGTATTAAATGTATTATAATACACTATAATAATATAACCACCAAGAAAACAAATAACTCTGTCTTAGAGTGAAACCAAGTTTCTCCTGGAGGCTAGGATTTTGAAGCACCATCTCACATACTTTGGGCACGTGGCCAGGAGGGACCAAGCCTTAGAAAACGGCATCATGCTCAGAAGGGTGGAGGGACAGCACAATAGAGGAAGACCCTCGGTGAGATGGATTGATTCAGCAACCAGGGCAATGTGGGGTCGGTGTGTTGGAGTCAGAGAGACTGGTTCAGGACAATGCAGGCTGCAGAGCTATTGTACTCTAAGACTCTATGAGTCGTAGGTGGCTAGACAGCACATAACGACAACATGACTATTAAGACAGGTTGTTATTATGTGCCATTGAGTCATGAATCATATGACCCTGTGAAAAATGGCTCTGAATCTTGCCCTATCTTGAGTCAATCTCACCATCTCCAACACATGACCCCATTGCCACAGTCCCTGTATTACTTTATCTTATCCAGGGTCTTCCCCTCTTGTGCTGTTTCTGCCCTCTTTCAAGTATGATGTTTTCCTCCAAGGACTGGTCCCTTCTGGTCACATGTCAAAAGTACGTGAGACCACACTTCAAAATCTTTGTCTCTGAGGAGCAACTTGGTTTCTCCCTCTCCAGGACAGAGTTGCTTGTTCTCTTGGCAGTCCATAACATGCTCAACACTCATGTCCAGTACCCCATCTCAAAGGCATCATTATTCATTGTCCAGCTCTCTGATGCAAAGCAAGCAATTGAGAAGACCATGGCTTGCATGGATCAGGCGCACCTTAGTCTCTAGACTGACATTGTTCCTCCTCAGCACTCTGCAGTGATCCTGGACAACAGACTTTCCCAAAGCAACTTGTTTTTTTTATGTCCTCACTGCTGGAGCCAAGAGTGTTGATTGTGGAATCAACCAAGATAAAATCATCAACTTCAATCTGTTCTCCATCTTCTATCATGATGCTGCCCATTGACCCAGCAATGAGGATCTTTGCTTTCTTGATGTTAAGATGCAATCCATATTGAAAGCTGCCGTTTTCGACCTTCTGCAGCAAATGCTTCAAGTCGTCTTCAGTTTTGGAGAGTAAAGTTCTCTAGTGCTGATCTAAGAGGAAATCTGAATACAGGATGCTGGCTTTCAGAGAAGCTGAGCTTCCAGCACAGGAACTGTGTGCTCCAAGGATGTGCTCTGCTCCTGGCTCTTCTGTCCTGGTGATACAGAGGTCCCACATCTCTGCTGGCTCCCCACTTCGTTCACATCTCGTGAATTCAGACACTTCCCAGGGAAGGCCCCTGACATCAGATCAGGGTTGGGTTGGGACACAGTGTGTGCTTCTCACCATGAATCTGCTAACAACTACTGTTGGCCAGATAATGGGGGACCATTATGTCCTTTCCACATGACATCATTGCAGAGCCATTGTTGGGAACAGTGATGACATCACCTCTTTGCTTTCATCCTCAGCCTAAACTTTTCGCTCGCTTTCTGAAGAACAGATCTAGAGGAGGACATTATCCCTGGTGAGGCAGAGGGTCTAAAGTAGGATACCTCCTAGGGATGGGCTCACACAGTGGCTGGAGAACAGAGACTGTGAAGACGGCACCGGACGGGGGGACCTTTGCCAGCCACTGCATGGCAAGTTGGTGTGCCACAGCTCGCCCAGCAGCCGTGAGGGACAACTGGGCCACAGCCAGGACAGGAAGAGGACAAGCAGAATTGGAAGTCCTCAGTCCCCAGTTGTCCTCTGCCATCAGCCAAGGAGCAGCAGCTGCTTGGCGTCTTCAGTTACACTTTCCAAGTCACCGAGAGCCTTTGGCCACAGGCCTGGGAATTGGCAGTGCTCAGCTTGCTGTGGGGAAGGTTTCAGGCCGACATGCAGGCCTGCTCCTCTCAGAAGGCGACAAGAGCTGGTGCCAGGGCCAAGGATGACCCTCAGTGGGTGCAGAGGGGCTGATGGCATTCCCTCTGTGCCACCAGTGCCCAAGCCTTGAAAATGCCTGAAGATGACCAACAATCAAGGTCTGCGAGACCAGGAGGGGAAGTCTCACTCTCCTCTCGTGGTGACGCCACACAGGGCTGTGGCAGGCAAGGACTCGGGAGGATCCTGGAAATTGGCGGGAAGGCAGGCAGAAATGGCTTCTTTTAGAGAAAACACAAGGGTCCAAGATGGCTGGGAGGAACAGGGGAGAGGAGAGACAAGCTGTGGTCAAAGGGAAGGCCACCATGCTTGTCCCTGCACTCCAAAATCAGCCAGCGGATTCTTAACGTTCCAGTGTGTTCCATAGAGAGGCACGGCAACCCCCCCACATCCCCCTCAAACCCCACAAACATACCCTCTTCACACCCTGTAAACACACCCCACATACCTCAAATCCACATACTCTCACTCCACATACACATCCCTCACATGCCTCCACCTTCCCCTCAAGCCTCACAATCACGCCCCCTTCACACCCCACATATGTACCCCCCCAGTGCTTTCTCCAGTGAGACACCACACATCCCACCCACGCTGTCGTCAGGCCCCTTTTTCGCTGCTGCGGCTCAGCCAGGCACCACTGACTGCTGGGCCCTAGAAGCTTCCAGCGTGAGGGTGCAGGAAACCACCCTCACGGCCAACAGGTGGCCAGGGCTGACCGCGCAGGAGAAATAGGTAGGAACAGGTGTGCCGAGGGTGCCCCCTGGTGTCTGGCCATGAGGCTGCACTCACGCACTCCTTTCCCGGACAGAGCCCCTAAAGCTGCTCGCCCAGAGTTGTTTCTCTCTTCATCTCCCGCTAGTACTACTGTCTGTGGGAGCGTGAGCTGAGGATCAGAAACAAGGGAGCCGACATGTGCAGCAGCAATTCAGCAAAACAAGTGAAAAAGGTTTATTCAGGTAATATAAGCAGCTGTACGGCTGGTGGGAGGTGGTGGTGAGAAGCAGGCGGAGGGACAGGAGGCGACTGTGAAGAGCGTGTCACGTCTCTGCGGCTGTGGGACAGAGGCAGCGTCTCAGGCACAGATTTAGACCCTGCCCAGGCTTTGTCCAAGGCAGCCCCCAGAGTTCAGAGGGCACTGCACATACACACCCCACATACCTACCCCAAACCCACTGCCCCTGCGGGATCCCGACCCTCAGTGACCAGGCCTCCAGGCTGTAAACACACATCTTCACGGGAGACCACTTGTCCTTCTCTCCCCAAGTGGCTGATGGCTTCCTGGGCAGGAGTGATGCATGCACACTGAACCAGGGCTACTTCCAAGCCCAGGCTGCATCCTTGAGTCATCAAGGGGGTATCTTGAGGCCTGGACTGATTTGCACCCCCCAACTGTGTGTCAACGCGGCTGGGCAGTGATGCAGTCATCCCAACAGGATCTCACTGAGGTCTCCCCGGGCTGGGCCTGCAGCGTCTGTGGGTGGACACGGGATGACAGGGTTGGCAGAGGGGACCCAGCATCACCAGGACAAAATAGCTGCAGCTGAATGTGTCCTCAGAACCCAGCGCTCCGTGCTGAGATGCTCTAGACCCAGAGGAAAGTGACTCTCAGACTTACAGGTGCTGAAAGGAGACACTGACACCTCAGCCCAGAGTGGATGGAAGCGAAAGCCTTTTCCTACTAGCTCGTACCTTGAACTAGGATTTGGACTGTGGTAGCTTATTGTGTCAAGAGTTGTGCTCCCAATTCAAAGGCAGATGGTTCAAATACACCAGTTGCTCCAAGGGAGAAAGATGGGCAATATCCTCCTCTGCCATTCACAGCCTCTGGAAACCCACTGGAGGGTCAGCTGCGAGCTGGTTCTGACCTAATGGTACACCACCACAAAGTCTCAAGTGGGAAAGACGGACAATCCCTTTCCAAGTGACTCACAGCTTCTGGAAACCCACTGGAGGGTCATCCATGAGTTTTCTGATGAGAGCCTCGTAAATGGCAACACCAAGTCCCTGTGTGTAAAGCCCCTCCCTGGTATTTGTTATGGCAGCACTAAGCACCAAGACATAGGCACTTACAAGAAATAGAATTTTAATTTAAAATTAAAACAAGCATAAATATGTTACTGTTGGAAAACACAGCTTTGTTGTGTTTCAATATCCACTTGAAACAATCTTTTAGGCACTTGGGTGTAGAAAGTGCTAATGAATACAATTTTACTTTATGTTCAATTGTATTTCCAAAAGGAAAAAGTACATGCATTCCAGCTTCAGAAGAAAACACAGCGTCAGTGACACCAACATGCCACTTAGCCTTCCAGTGTTTCTAACGTGGAGATTCCACGGGGACAGAGGTCAAGGTTCCAAACTCCTTTCAGTCAGCTCAATGAGAAATGAGATTTCAGGAGAGACCAAAGGCAGGAAAGAGACCTCAGTATCTAATCTGGTTTCTTAAAACAGTCCCAACAGTCTTAAAACGTTCTGCTGGGCGCTTCAGCAGGCAGAGGGAGGTGTCTGGCTAGGCTCAGGCAGCTGCTGCCTGACCAGTGGCCATCGCTGAATCCAACTTAGCTGGAGCGTGGCAGCCACTACAGCGAGCAGGGTGAAGACACAGACAGGCCAAGGCGGGCCAGGCTAGAGTCGTCCCAGGGTCGTGCTGGTCTTGCGAGTGCCCTCCATGCTGGCGTTCAAAGTGTCCTAGCGCAGTGAGGACGCAGGTGGCCTGGCCCAGCCTCTGGATAGCGAGGCACTCAACCAGTCAGTGTGAGGCCACCAGGGCCCGAACATGCTGCAGCAGCTGCTGGCAGTGGGCCGGGGAGCGGTGTTTGTGCTGCACAGCCTCGGTTTCCTGCAGCAGGATCTCCGGGAACAGGACGCTGCCCTCTCTGAGCACCTCTGGAAGACAGCAAAGCACCAAACCTACATGACTGTGGGTCCCCAAGAGCAGCTCCCGAGGTTCTCAAGTTTGAATACAGATTTCTGATGCTCATGTGAAACGGCACGGTGTCTGCATGTGCCTACCCCACTCTGTACGTTACCCCTTCCTACACAGCATTCCCCCCTCCCCCCTGCATACGGTCTCCGTGTTACCCACCCCCCGCATATGGTCCCCTGTTCACCGAGTTTGCTTTGAGGTGGCAGTCACACGAGTGAGTCAAGTCAGGGTCCCAAGACCGTCTGGGGCCTGGGGGGGTCCCATGGCAGCAAATGGACAGTGTGCACTGGCCCAGTCGCTCAGATCACACAGAAGGGCAAGGCTACCATCCAGCAATATAAACTGAGGGGTACCAGACCCATGCACTCCATCCTTACAGAACTGCTGCTAAAACTTATAGTCACCAAGCGTGCCTTCAGGGAGAGGCCGTCCTGTGACATCTTAGTCCTCCAGGGTCCACCTGTGTGTGACGCGTGCACATTAGGGAAGCAATGGGGACCTACTGACTGGTCACAGACCTCCTTCATGTGCCACAGCAGCACCGTGACGTGGGCACAGTCCCTGAGATGAGAGCTGGTGCTGTCAGAGCCCCCAAGCCCACAGCACTGCCCTTAGGGAGCTTGGCCCAGTCCTCTGATGAGGTACTGAACACTCCTTATCTGACCACTGGCCCACCCAGGCCTGTTGACAGCTAGAAAGATGTGTGTTAAGCTAACCGGCTCTCAGCGCCCCTCTCGAGCCAGCAGCACTGTGGCCCAGAGTCCTCAGCGGCCGAGGTCCAGGACATGGCCAGGCCTTTCTCCCAAGGCCCCTCGGGTGGAATGGGGCTGCTAATGCGCAGCTGGCAGCCAAGTGCCTGTTAGAGCTGCTCAGGAACCCTCCTGCCAGACACTCTGGTCAGGACACTGCAGCCAAATGGGTGTCGAGGGAGACGCGTGTCCTGTCAGCCAGACTCTGAAGGGTCACAAATGTGCAGGCCTGTGCTACTCTCCCGAGGAGGACTCTATCTCAGTAACATGACATTAACGTGAATGTGTGACCACAAACTTGAAACTCTGATCAGTTTCTGATATGGGAGACCACATCCATGAACGTCCTGGTAACAAACATGGAGGGTCCCCTGGCTCTGGAGTGTCCCAGAGGTAAATGGTGCCATGGTCAAAGTCATCCCACCAAGGCCAAGGGAGAGCAGCGTGGGTTCGGGGCACACTGGCCATGCCAGGCACCCCTTATTTCACAGGAGGGACTTGGTCGCTCTGGAAGCCTGGTACTGGGGGGTCCTGAGACCGACCCCAAGGGCACAGAAGGATGAGCATGTCCAGGAAGCACAGCCCAACTCACCAAGGACGGCGTTCTGGACGGCCGGCTCCGGGTCGTCTAGGTACACGAGCAGCTCCCGGTACAGGTGCTGCGTGTTGCTCTGGTAGTAGGACTTGCTGTCGTCATCGCGGATGCACCTCAGCCAGGTGACCAAGGTGGTGAGCGCTGCCATCCTCACTTCGCTGGACACATCGTCGAGGCGTTTTAAGAGTTCTAGAAGAGGTCATGACAGAGAAGAAGCAGAGATGGACCTAGGAGTCCAGAGGGAAGAGCCCATTCCCTTGAGGTCACAGGGAGTGCAGAGCAGCTTCCACCTGGACCCCCCCCACAGGCCTCTCAGGGCAGTGGGGACCGGGGAGCTCCCAGAGCACCTGGCGGAACCAAGGGAGGGAGTGGACACCAGGTGTCTGGCTGTTCTCGGGATAAGAATGTGGGCTGGAAGAGCAGGCTGCTCATTCTGTGTCCCCTGAGACGCTCCCTGACCTCGGGCCCCCAGAGTGCAAGCACAATGTCCTGCCTCTGAGTCCTTCCTGGGCACTGCATGGTGTCCTGCCCCCCAAGCTCTTCCCTGGTGCAGCATGGTGTCCTGCCCTCAGGCCACCAGAGTGCAAGCACAGTGTCCTGTCCCCCAGTCCTTCCCGGGCGCAGCACATCTGAGTGTGTTTTTCTAGAACACCATGCCGGGTGCTCAGAGCACAGCTTTTCATCCTGCCTGCTTGTTTCTCAGCTTTCTGCGGATGGAGGTGGTTATTCCAGCTTTCTGTGGTGCTTAAACACACCTTGAAAAACTAACCCCAAAGCCAGGTCTGTGATAACGACACCCTGAAAAGCTAAGTCTGAATCAGGTCTATTGGGGCGTCACCCTTGCCATGGGCTCTGCTGGTGTCCCCTCCACATCACCATGAAAAGCCAAGTCTGGAGGACGTCACCCTCACAATGGGCTCTGCTGGTGTCCTCGAGTTGCCTGTGGTGGTGAGTCCGGCCCCCTGGACACTACTCTTTTCAGCATTTCAGTGGCTTCTATCTGCCTGCTGTGCCCCCAACTACCCTTTACCGTAACTATGGTCTATGCTAGCGATCTGCTTGACAGCTGGGACGCAAAACAGGTAGGGTGCAGGGGGCCACGAGCCTAGGTGAGACTGCAGCGGTTCAGAGGCAGCGTCTCTGCCCACCCTGGGCCCCTGACCTGGTGATGGCCTGTTCTGTGGCCTTTCTCGGCCAGACATCTTTTCCTCCAGCTTTGTGGTCCACCCAGGCAGGATGAGTTCCAGTGACAGCTCAACAGCACTCCCAGTCCACAAGATAGCATCCTTCTGTGTGTGCACCTGTCATTCACTAGATGATATGTGATCTTTCCCTGCCCTGGGGGATGTGGACACTAGCCTGACTAGTGACCAGAAAGCAAATCATCTTTAGTCAAGTTGGTGCTGACTTCCAGCGACCCTCAGGACAGAGTGGGGCTGCCCCGTGGGGTTTCAAGGCTGCAGATCTGAACAGAAGATGGCCTGAGCTTCCTCTTGGAGTGGCGGGTGGGTATGAACCACTGAACTTTTTGGTTAGCAGCTAAGTGTGTACCCACTGTGTCACCAACACCCTCAGGAAGGTGTTATCAGCTGTCAGATTTAGACATGCTCATAGGTCCACACGTGTGCACCTACCAGGATAATCAACTGTCAGATTTAGACGAGCTCACACATCCACGTGTGACCACCTACCTGGATAGACCTTGATGAGCTGCTCGGGGTTGTTCTGGTCACCAGAGGTCTGTAGGAAAAGGTCGATGATGCGGCATGAGAGCAGCCGGGTCATCTGGGAGTCCTCCTCTAGGGAAGTGACCATGTGTGGCATCAGTGTTCCCTCCATCTCCAGGATCTGCAGTGGACAGAGCAGAGAGGCTATAGTGAGACGGCCAGTGCGGAAGCTGCTACTCACATGTGGCATACACGGCATGTCTGAGGAAAATGACCAGGCTTTGAGATACAGTGGAATCTGTAAAATGTCAGAATTTTAAAATATGAGATCATGTTATTTGGGAAACTGAGTTTTAAAAGTCACTTGGGATCCTTCACAAGGCACAGGCTGTGTGGAGCACCACCAGGGACTCAACTCCACTACTCTCGCTTCCACCCAAAATTCTGGAAGATTCCAGCCTGCACTCTCTGGCCCACGAGGTGGGCTCACACATGCAGCTTATGGTGTTTTCTAACCTGATGTCTCAGCCTACAGCACGGCTGTCCCATCCAGACCAAGGTGATGGGGAGAAGCTGGGAGATGCTGCCTCAGTTCTAAGACAGTGAATACATCTTCTCTTTCAGAGCCCTCAGTGAGTAAAGAATAGACCATGTTTAAGGATAGAAACACCTGATACGGTGAAACTGACACTCCTATCAAAAACAACCTACATATTCAATGAACTCTCAATTCTGATATTGACCACCTTCTTAAAGGCAATGGGAAAGGCATCTCTGGCTCTACCTGAAATCAGGAAAGCACCACTAGCAAGACAAAGCACCTGATCTCAGCCCAGCTATGGTGCACATGACAGCGGGGGCTAGTTCTGTGACAGACACACAGACCAAGGGAATGGAGTCAAGAACCCAGAAATCAACCCTCCCACTTCTGGTCAACCATGGTCTTTGACAAGAGATAAAATCCATTAAGTGGAAAAATGACAGACTCTAACAAACAGTGCTGGTAAAACTGGACATCTGTCTGTGGAGAATGAAACAAGAACCCCACCGCACACCATACACACTAACCAACTCAAGGTAGATCCAAGACTTGGGGTAAAACCAAAACCAATAAAGATCATCAGAGAAAAAAAATAGAAACATCTGCCATGATCAATGAATGGCATGAACAGACTTTGAAACATAAATAAGAATCCACAATCGGGAAAGGATAAAACAGAAGAATGGGACCTTTTAAAAATAAAATCCTTGTATGAATCAAAAGGATAAAAAGAAGTCCACTGACTTGAAAAAATACTTGGCAATGACATACCTTATAAGGGACTCCTATGTAAAATTTACAGAATATTCTCAACCTCAACAAGAAAAAGACAATCGAATTACAAAATGGACAGAAGACTCTTCAGCAAAGAGGATATTAGGGCGGCTAACGCACACGTGAAGAAAGGTTTAAATCATTATTGTCAGGGGCTGCTGAGTTGAGTCTGAACAACGGATCTGAGCCCTGTCCTGACCGGGGCCGCCCTCGTCATCTCTGACACGCTTGAGCCCGGAGCTGCAGTCTCTGTGCCAATCCATCTGGTTGAGGGTCTTCCTGTCCGTCGCTGACCCTCCACCTCTCCCTTTCCAAGAAACAGCCTCTCCTAACACCACGCTCAAGGTATGTGACACGAAGCCTTGTCACTCTTGCCTCCAAGGAGCATGGTGGCTGCATGTTCTCCATGACATAGCTTCAATCATTTCTCAATCCACAACTCAAAAAGGCTTTGATTCTTGTCATCCTTATTCACTGTCCAGTTCTCAGATGCATATCAAGTGATTGCAAGTCCACTGCTTAAATCACGTACACTTTAGTGTTTAGACTGCTATCACTGCTTCTCAGTATGTTGGAGAGGTTCTTGATGGCACACTTTACCAATGCAATATGTCTTTTGATTTTTTGACTGTCAATACCCAAGAATGTTGACTATGTCAGTCTTTTCTCTATCACAGCCTCACCTCACACAGCTAGGTGGTCCCTCTCAGCCCCCCCCCCCACAGCTGGGCGCCCCTTACGCAGCTGGGAGGCCCTACTCTGCACAGCTGTGTGCTCTACCTGTTCAGTAGACAGGGTCCCGGAGTTGATGAGCGCCCAGAGGCAGGAGATGGCAGCCGTGCGAATGGCTGCTGCGGTCCTTCCGGCGTGCCACTGCAGGTTGGGAACCAGAACGTCTGTCACCAGTGTCTGAAGGTAGCTGTGGAGCTGCCTGCAGACAGAACACAGGGCAGAAAAGTGTAGTCTCTGACGGGATCATGGTCTAGGATGGACTGTGTGGAGGTCAAGATGACAAACGGACGTGAATAATTCTGGGTATCACCAGCTTAAATGTGGTGTCCTCCTGTGTGGAAATCTAAGTCCTGGGGGTTGGGGGTTCCCAGTCAGGCTCAACCCACAGGGGAGAGGCTGCACCCACCCTTTTGAGTCCATAGTCTCATGGGCTCTCAGCAGCACTCTGGAAAGGTCCGAAAACAGCTTCAGGCGCATCTGGGGGTCCCGGGCGGGGTGCAAGCAGCTCCTGAGGGTGGGGATCAGGTGCTGAAGAGCCTCTCCCACAGCAGGGCCTGGAAGACAAACAAGGGTGCTGGGTCCACCCCAGAGAGGCAGTGGAGACCCCCCCCAAAGCCATGTTCATCTCACAAACACCCTGCCCTCTTAATACTCTCAGCCAAGCAGGTCTTAAAAAAGTCAACCAAGGGTGCCCCACCTGTGGTCACAGGCTGCAACCTTACGTCCAGCAAGTCCATGGGCAGTGCCATTCCAACAGCACATGCTCACGTCACACCAGTCACTGTCTCGCGCATTCTCACAGCACCTCTCACCTCTGTCATGCGGCTACATTCTTCATCACCCACAACCTAACCCAAGTCACCCTGCTCTTCATACAATGACCTGTTGGAGGGCTGTCAAGGCTGAACATCCTTTTTAAAAAGCAAGTGACTAGACAGCATTTAATTGTAATAATCAGATGTATCTTAGGACTCATTTCTGTGGCTGGAAATCTCCTAGAATTACTCATTCCCTGCTCCACAGTTCCTTTTTGAAGACGCAGAAATCATCCAAAAAATCTCAGACACCCTTGGTTTTTAACTATTGTAGATTGCTGGATCAAAGCAGCCCCGTTTGCAACAAGCTCAATGTCATTTCCCTTCAAAACTCATCTTTCTGGGCTTGTGATACTCAACAAGCAACACCTGGTCTCATCAGAACTCTCCGAACGTGTTTTTCACCTAAGAAGTTTGCAGTTTCAGCCACAGCCCTGCTCTCCTGCACTGTGATGCTGACAGGACATGAGCGCAAAGAGCCCTCATCTTGACCCAAAGCCTGGCGTAACCCCCTGGGACTTGTTCTGTATGTGGCTACAGAGCGTGTGAACCTCAGACGGTTCCTTCCTGTTCCCCCAGCATCTGTTAACGTGAAGGCTTTTATTCTTGCTTAGACTAGAATCTCCACAATAGAACTGAAATCGTGTTGCAAAGTACTTCTTGGGCCTTTTGTGACCACCGTGAGGCCCTTCAGAGTGATGCCAGCATTTCCTGGAATGTTGACAGTCTGCTTGCTGAAAATGGTCTTCAGTTTTGCAGGAAATGTGGCAAAAAAAGTGAGGCCATAACTCATTATGGGAGGCACTGGTGGCTGTGAAACGCTGACCTATTGGTTAGCAGCGTGACATGCAATGACTACAGCACGAGAGTCGAGACAGCAGTGGGGTCAACCTCACTTGTACACAGGCCTTACTGCTGCCTTCTGGAACCAAGCAGCAGTATCTCCGAGCCCGCCTCTGTCACCACCATCCTCTTCCTGTTCACTGCTGGGAAAGGACGGAAGCCGCCAAGTGTCTCCTGCTGCAGGACTTCCCAGTCATGCTGCTTCTTTGCCCTTCACTTGGGTACAATTTCAATTAAGACTCAAACCTGGCTGGTGACGATGGACTCTTGACCTCTTAGTCTCCTCCCCTCACCGCAGTCCAACAAACAGCAGCTCAGAGCAGGAGATGCGGAAAACAGCAAAATGGCTAAGGGGAGGAAGCCCATCTCCGCTCCCACATCTCATGTGGGGACTGTATGACGTCCTCTGAGGCTCTACGCACATGTGCCCATGCACACTCCCTGCAACGCACGCTCGCACGCACAGGAGGGAGCCCTGCCAGGCAGTGGACGTCTAACTCAGCTGGGACACGAGCCGACCCTATGTCAGGTAACACGGTAGTGCTGCGTTTTGCCACAGGGCGTGACAGCGAGTCGGCCCTGTCTCTCCCTGCCTGAATCAGGTCCTCGCTCGCAGGGACGGTCAGCGCGGTGAGTGCTGTGACTCAGGTGGCCTACCTGTCTGAGTGAGGAGCACGCTAAGCTGCATGAGCTCTGTGGAGTAGATGGTCCAGTCGCTGTGTGAGGCGGTCACCCACTCCATCAATGCACCCATGTGCTTCTGGTACACGTCCTGGGGTCCATGCACTCCTTCCACCACAGCTAGTGAGGCCAGCGCCTCCTGCACCTGGAGGGAAGGGGGCAGTCAGACCATACACCAAGTGTGGACAGCACGGTTGGCAAGCCCAGGGCCTCCTGCACTTGGAAAGAAGGGGCCAGTGAGACCACCCGCCCAGTGTGGAGTGTGGCCGGCGAGTTCAGCACCTCCAGCACCTGGAAGCAAGGGCTGAGTCCCAACTGCTGATCCACCAGAAGCAATAGGAGTCAGAACCACAGTTCAGTGTGGATGGCATGGTTGTAGGGGTGCAGTAAAAGGTGTTCAACTGCTGATGCCCCCTCACGTGTGTCCACAACATGCACACGAGTGACAAAGCAGAAAAAAAGAGGGCTCCATGCATACAGAGGGTGCATCCACACAGGGGTCCCCCCCCAGGGCTTCCAGGAGGTTAACTGCAGGAATGGACGGCAAGCCTGGTATCTGCGCTCTGAGATTTGTGTCCTCTCTAACCCCAGGGGCCAGTGGACCACATGTCCCTAGAGTGGGCAACAGGTAGGAGAGGTATCAATGAGGGGCCACGTCAGAGTGGCCTGTGCTGACCAGAGAGCCGGGGAGGGGGACTCGTGGGCTAGGGGTCCTCTTTTCTTTCACTGACCCCCAGGATACCACAGGAGCAGTCTGTGGACGTGCTGAAGCTGTCCCTACCGCCTATCAGCCTGGCTGGGTCACACTCTCCCTACAATCTAAGTCTCTTCTATGTGCAGGTGTTTTAAATCCTCACCCCATGATGTCCTGAGATACAACCTACAGGACCAGGCTACTCCACCTAGGGTCAATCTAAGATACAACACAAATGCTCAGTGGGCCTCCCATCTCGGCACCAGTCTGTAATCTGTTTTTCCCGGCCTCTTAGCCCTGCCCTGAACAGTGGCCCTCAGGAAAACTATCCCTAAACCAGGCTCAAACTGGCCGAGGTGGGGGCAAGACTCCTGTGGAGAACATCCACGGGCCCCACGTCCTGCCTTGGGCACTGGCAGCTGGGCCCTGGGGGTCCCTAGCAGCCCAGAGGCACAATCAGAAGCAAAGTTCAGGGGCCACATGTGACATGAATGGCTACTGTAGAGACGCAGGTGTAACCAGGAAACACAAGCTCAGGCATAAGTTGGTCCTCCCATCTGCTCCTAAAACTACGCTAAACCAGAGGGGGAGGGGATCCAGTCCCCAGGTCACACTGGGAACACATGAGACACCCCCCCGCCCCCAGCTCAAGTCTGGGAACCAAGACACCGAGCATCAGGGCTCTACCCTCTTCCCAGCTCGCCAGCTTACCTTCTGGTGCAGGTCGCCCGTGCCCGAGGCGGCCAGCACAGCCACTAGCACTTGCAGCAGCGGGAGGCCACAAGCAGCACAGTCCTCCGGGCACACGGTGAGCAGGGCCTGTACACACAGCAGCAGGTGCTCCAGGTAGAGGTGCTGTGGGGAAAGGGGTGGTCAGTGCACGACAGCATGGACCCCACTGTGTCCCCCCACCTACCCTAAGGAAATGCAGAGGGAGTAGTGGATGGGGTGGTCAGTGCACCACCATGCAGACCCCACTGAGCATCCACATAGAAAGAGCCCTGAGCCAGGTGGCAGGGCACAGGCCTATGACCACCACCTGAATCAGGTGCCCAGCGGGTGGCCTGTGCTTGACAGACTGACATCTGTCACTGTTAGTGCTGCATGTCGACAGCTCTTAGCAACCCCATGCAAACAGTGCCCTGCCCTTCACCATCCCCGTCCCCACCATGCTGGAGCCACTGCAGCCGCTGTGGGTCTGCCTTGCCTGTGCTAACCAACCCTCTGCTTTCCCACCAAGCAGCATGTCCTTCCAGGACTGGCCCTCCTGACCACACACCTAGAGTTAGGGGAAGCCTCACTGTCTGCACTTAGTGGGAGCTTCCTGCGGTAGCACTTTTTTTTTAAATTAATTTTATTTTTTTATTTTATTATTTTTGTGTGTGAGTGTACTGTCAAATCAGATCTGACTGGTACAGGAGGAGATTGTCCCTCCTTTCCCGGCAGAGCATCTGGTGGATTTGAACCGTGAGCCTCTGGGATTGTAGTTGCAGCTCCTTGCCACTAGGCCACCAGAGCTCCCCTAGCACTTTTCAACAGACTAGCTAATACAGCTTTCTGTAACCAGCATTAAATCCACACCCACCAGACATGTAGGCTGCCACTAATTGATGCTGACACACAGCAACCCTGTGGGGTGAAGGAGAGCTCCTCCCGGGGTTGTCACGCCCACAATCTTTGTGGAAGCAGAATGCCCTGTTTTTCTTCCCCATAGCAGCTGGTGGGTTTGAATTAGTAACCTTACAGTTAACAGGCAAGTTCTTAAACAGTACACTACCAGGGCTCCTTTGAAGAATTGCCCTTTCTTTCTTATTTTATTATTTGTTGTGTGTGTACCATCAAATCAGACCTGACTGGTACAGAAGCAGATTGTTCCTTCTTATTCAGCAGAGCATCTGGTGGATTCAAACCATGCACCTCTAGGATTGCAGCGCAGCTTCTTGCCACTAGGCCACTAGAGCTCGCCAGAATTGCCCTTTTTAAGCAGCAAATGTGTCAAGTGTCAGGCTCCTACCCCAGAAAGTTCCTCTTTGGGAGGAAGATGGGCAGTCTCCCTTAAAAATTTACAGCCTTGCTGTTTTTGTTTTTTAAGATTTAAAGAAATGCACTATGAAAAACACAAGCCCTGTGCCCAGTGTCACCCGTTGCCAGCCCTCCGGAGTGCTTCAGCCCCACCAAGGAGCTCCTCAGTGTTCTACAAACATGAGCACAATACAAAGAGGTGGGCACCAACCAGGCCCTCCTCTAACTTCAGGAAGGGGCGTCACACAGGCTCACCCAAACCTTTCCCCTGATCCTGGCCCCATCATCCTGTGCACTGTACTCAATTCTCTGCAGGTAGCCACGCAGAACAACATGAGAGAATCCAGAAGAGACAACGTGACGTAGGAGGGCAGGCACTGCATGACCTACTAAGCTGAACTGAATAGGAGCAGTAAAAGCAGACAGGACACAGACAGACTGGTTCCCCTGTGCCTGGGAGTGAGGGGGGCAACGAGGAGGTGCAGTCTTAGGGACAATGGATTTCTGTCGAGGGCAGTAACTGGGACATGGAGGTGATGGCCACACAGCAAGGTGAGGGGAAACTGATGGACTGAATCACAGGCTGGTCACGGAGAGGCACTGGGTGGGCCAGCTGTAGACCATACAAAACAGGAGGTGAGACAGAGCCTCAGCTTCCGCCAGGTTCCCCAGCGTGTTAGCGTGAGGAAGCCTCGAGGAGGAGCAGAGTGTAGGACACAGGCATGAAGCAAGCACATGCTGCGGGAAAACGGGGGCTGCCAACCCAGCGCCCCGGAGCTTTCCCTTGGGGAAACTCGGCTCCCGCAAGGGGCCACTGAGGTCACATGTACTACCTTACACAACAGGGTGCTTGGTGTATGGACCTCATGTCACGCACACCGAGGGCTCAAGCCCAGGGAACAAATGGTCCAGCATCCATGAGATGGACTGCCGCTAATGGGCTTGAACATGACAGACCGTCAGGACGGTGTAGAGCAGGGCAAGGTTCCCATCACAGGCACCAAACAGCCATGACAACCAACTATGGCAGGAGAGTTTCTGGGAGTGCGGCAGGGTAAACGAGGGGCTGCTAACTGAATGTCTACACTTCAGACCCACCAGCTGCTCACGGGAACACGTGGCAGCCCCCGTCCAAATGACTGACAGCCGTGACCCCTGCACTGCCCCGTGGAGCTGCAGGAAGCTAGAAGGGAGGCCACAGCGGCGGTGTTCCTTCCGAGAGCAGAAGAACCCACCTGCCGCATCACTGAGTGCACGTAGCCCAGGCCGCACCCCTGCCGCACCCCTGCACCCCACTTACATTCTCAGACGCCTGACAGATGTGGGCCAGCTCTGTGGCAACAGCCTGAAGGTGGGGCTGCAGGGCTTCTCTCGGGCAACCCCGGAGGACACAGGCCAGGACCAGCAGGCTGCAGGCAGAGGGCGATTTCCTCAATGGTGACAAGATTAACTTCAGAAACACCTCTGGGCTGACGAAGGTGCCAACAAGCTCTGCTGTCTTCATGGACTGCAAGAGGAGAAGACTGGGACAGTTAGGGTTGTTCTCAGTGTCAAGGCACATGCCCCGTGCACTTGGACAGCATCACTGTGAACATGCCCCGCCATGGTTTGAGTGTGCCCCGTGCACTGTCATGGCCATGTCACTGTAAGTGTACCCCACCACGGTGTGAGCGTGCCCCGTGCACTGCCATCGTAAGTGTTAACATGCCCCCTGTGTGTGCTGACGCCCCACACTATCCGTCTCTAGAAGGTGGATGTAGGACTCACGCTGCTGACAACGGTGGGCTCCTCATCGGCACAGCCATGCTGCAGGGCCTGGAGGACGGGCTCTAGGTGCTGTGTGGTGTGGTCCTCCGCATGCAGGAGGAGGACGGTCAGCAGCTGTGCAGCCTTGATCCTGGTGCCCACCACCCAGTCGCCCAGGTCCCGGCAGAGGCCTGGCAGGATCTTGGACAGGTTCCTGAAGACGAGTTCCCGGCAGCCCAGACCTGGACGGCTCTCTGCAGGTCAGAAAACCACAATCACAATCCCTAAGCTTTCTCTTGAAAGAAGCATGTCAAACACACCTTATTCATCACATACCTACCGTTTTAAGACTTTAAAAAAATCAAATCAGCCCTACAGACATAAATCACAAAGAGGAGTAACTTCTATATTTGTTGAAGTTACAAGTGGCCCCTGATGAGTCTTGACCTTGCTGAGTTTGCAGGGGAAGGTGACAGGCTCGTGTGTGCAGGGGACAGGCATGTAGTGTGAGTGTTCGTGTGTGTACATGAGTATACACGTGTGTTTTGGGGAGCAGGCTCCAGGAGGAGAGGTTCGTGGCCACACTGAGGTAGGTAAGAGGGAAGGGACAGGGCTGTGGCCATGCTGAGCTTTGACCCATGGATGCAGCTGCAGACTAACAACCCCCGTAACTAAGATGATGAACGGGCATTCTCAGCCCTAGAAGGTTCTGGCCTCTCTGTCAGGCCGGTTGGTTGCCCTCTGCCCTGCCCCTCCTCCAGGGAGCCCTGACCTGCTTTCTGGCACCACAGACTAACCTGCACTTTCTGGAACTTGGCATAAATGAGACTGTACAGGATGTATAGGACCTCTCTGGTCTCCAACTACCCTAACCACAGGCACATGGTCTTGCAAATCACCAAAAGCTGTGGGACTAACATAGGAGAACGAGTGTCTCCCACACTGAACAGCAAGACTGGAAATGAGAAAGACTTGAGGTGAGTAAGGCTTGTGGTGGCAAGACCCTGTTGAGACCCGAGGCTTCTTGCATTTGTGGTGGTCACAATTAAAGGTTTTAGTTGGATTTTCTGGATGTCTGAAGGAGAAGCTGACTTATAAATTGCTCTGGGGAAAACCCTGCTGGATGATTTGGATTTGACTGCTCAACTGAAACCTGAACCTGGACTAATGGTGTAATTGCACCTTGAAACCTGGGCTAAACCCTGGCCTTATTTTGGGTAATAAATTTTTGTCTCTCCCACTTTCCTCTCTAATAAACCACATTGTTGGTACCCTAACTGTGAGTTTGCGAGTCAGCAATGAATAAATGAAATGCTACTGCTGCTACAGCTCTAGAAAGACCACAGGGCTGGCCTGCGGGCTCTTTATCTGCTTCCTGTCTGAAGTAGGGAGGGGCTGTTCTATTCTGACTCCCTCTGGCCTTTTCAGAGGGACACTCATGGCCTTGTTCCCTCATGTCCAGTCTCCCCCTCTTTAGACACACTGAAATGGGGCCCTTCATGTGGACTCTACTCATAGCAGTCCCTGAGACTCACCCCAGGACAGGACCCCTGAACACAGGCCCTCAGGACAGGCTCGCATGCTCAGTGGGTCCTGGGACAGGCCCTCACACAGCCAACCCCTGGGGAAAGGCCGGTCTGGGCCAGTCAGTTCAGCGAGGAATGGCTGGTCCACGACAGGTCTCCCTCCTAGTGCTTGCCATTTTCTGCTGACTTAGCTAGCTCTTCCCTCCACCTCTTCACATCTCAGCAAGGTGGAGGCAGGGCGGTTCTGTGAGCTCCAGATGCTCCAACTCTGCTCTGGGGACTGAGCATGGGCAGACTGCAGCCAGCATGTGAAGAGCTGTCACCCTGTCTAGCTCCATACCTGAGGTCTCACTCGGGCACCTCAGAGCCACCTGGCCCTGGTCTCTCACTGCTATTTACATCTAAGAAACCACTCCAGACAGACTGAGGGCTGGCCCATCAGTAGGGAGGCCTGAGAGGGTCCGAGGGTGCACAACTCGTACGCCAGCTCCACCTTGATGGGAGGTTCATGTTTGTCACCTGGTCTGCGGCCCACGTGCTCAGCTCTCTGTCCGACATGCTCAGTCTCCGGTGTCCCCTTACAAACTCACATGCTCAGGAAGCCCCATAATCAGAGATGCAGTTTCAAGGGGGACAGGGGTCCTGTTATCGCAAAAGGGACCTGTACCAGAAGGACAGTGGTTTCCAGCAGCAGGACAGAGGCACTGTGCCCAGGTGTGGAGCTGTCATTGGCAGGCCTCACCATTCAGCTTACCAGCAAGGCAGTGATAGGAAGTGCCTTGTCTGTCACCTGAAGCATGCTGATACTGGCAGAGCACAGGAGATGAGGCCTTCTGTCATTTGCAGGTCCACTCCGTCCTGTCCTGTGCTGTCCCTTGGGAAGGGGCACTGATAACAGTCCTCATAGCACTCTGTCCTGTCCTTCTAGAAGGGACACTAACGCCCAGCCCTCACCTTGCAGTGGGTAGTGGACAGGCGGTGGCGCAGCGAAGTCCAGCTTGTCCTTCAAATCTTCTTCGTTCTCCTTCTGCCACTGCAGGCCGATTTCCTCCCAGAGGCCAGTGGCCAACTCCCTGTAACACAAAAAGGACATCCACCACACAGAGGTCACCACAGGCCTGTGGAGGATACCGGAAAGGCGGCTGTGAGTCCTAGACTCTGGGCCCCCCATGACTGCTCACGACTTTACGGGGTGCTCTGGGCAGACATGTCAGCAAATGTAAGCCAACAAACACCCCAACTCCGTTGGGGCCTTTACAGAGTACAGAGTGCGACCTAAACCACAGGCCACAAGACATGCAGCAGCACGGTCCTCTGCGCACATCAGTCTCCTAACTCAACAAGGAACCGAGGTTTCTAAAAGACTCTACAGGGAAGAAAAACAGCCACTACCACGAACGAGAACTTGAATGCAGGCTGCTGTGCCCAAGAAAACAAATCAAGAAGCCTCCAGTGGCCAAGGCCCCAGAGGAGGGGCTCTGGTGAGTCCTGCTCAGGCTCCCCACCCACCCTGCACCCCTCACCTAATCTCGGGGAACTCATCGTCCAGGCTGCTCAGGAGCAGTGGGATGAGCTTGTGGAAGAATGAGTAGCGGTCTCGCAGCTCCCGCAGCCAGGTCCCCACCACAGAGGTCACTGCCCGCCGTACCTGCAGGAGAGCAACAAGGGTTCGTGGATTAACAGACAGGAGGCAACAGCGCTGGGCATGCCGAGCCTCCCGTGGACTGAGGGACAGGCATGTTGGGCGCCCAGCTGGCCTCGGGGTCTCGGGTCCAGCCTCATGCCCTGGCCCGGCCAGGTTTACTGCCGGGTCCACAGCAGGAGTCTGCACTGCTGTCCTGAGTGACACAGCTGACAGTGTGACAGCTCCTGGTCAGGAGGGGACTGTTTCTCCCTGGACACTGAGATAAGCAGTGCTGGCAACTAGGACGCACTCCCGCGCAGCCACAGGGCAGAGTGCTGCTTCTTCGGGGACCACGTGCTGCCATCTGAGGATGGCCTCTACCTGCCCCCAGACAAAGAGTGTGGGAGCAGAGGCTCGGACACCTGTCCTGCCACAAAAGGGCAGTGTGGGGGTCTGAGGAGGGGCAGTCAGAAGGAGAGTCCGCTATCTGCCCCATACAAGCAGAGTCAGAGAAAGCTCTGTATCTGTCCTCCACCTTGAGGTAGGAAATCTGCCTGGCTCCTGTCCGCCCGCCCGCCCTCAGGTGACTGAAGGCCCCAGGCCCAATGCCTTCCTTGGAAGCCTCTGTCCCACTCTTTGTCATCCTTGTTCTGTAACATTTTCATCAGTGAAATAATTGTGGCCACTGATCCCAACCACCATCTACTAAGATTCTGCCGTCCATCTGTCTGTCCCACAGAGACAACTCATAAAGCAGTGTGTGGGCCCAGCCTCTCCTTCAAGTCCCTCCCCCACCCACCTGGCCTCCTAACACGTGCCCTGGTGGGCAGGGCGTCAATGCTCCTGATGGCCATTGAGTATATCCGCAGCCCTCTCCTGTATCCTGTAGGGTCTTCTAACACTCAGGAAACACCACCAGTGCCCACCACCTCCTTGTCCCTCAGGATGAACCGGCATCCCATGACCCTCCAGTTTCTCAAAGAGGCTAAAGCAGAGCAGTCTGACAAATAGAAAGTAAAGGGTGCTGGGTCAGCACGTGACTTATGGAGAGGCTCAGGGTTGCCAGTGGCTGCCCAAAGGACGAGCCCTCCAGGAAAGTGAGTGAAACAATGACCAAGAGAAAGAGTGACACGACTGCCTGTTGGGGAAGCAGGTCACACAGTCACTGCTAGGATGGACAGGTGCTCAGATGGACAGTCCAGGAGGGAGGGGACAGACTTACCTGGGGGACACTGTCAAAGAGCCGCTGGGCCAAGTGAGAAAGCACATCATCTACTGACTTCCCGTTGCCAAACTGGATCACTGTGCCGGTGGCCTCGATGACGGCCACTCTGACCTTCCAGTGCTGGTGGGCGATGGTCTGCATCAGTGAGCTCACCAGGGACTCAGACTGCATGTGGAAGTGCTCTGGGGGTGGGGTGGGGGGGAGAGGGTGAGCAGAGTGGAGGTTCCAGGCTGCTCCCGAGATCCCATGTACCCCCGCCTCCCAAGGAGACTTAGGGCCTGTGCGTGTGACCCTATGGCAACTGGATCACCTGGACGCTTTAGGAACCACCAGAGAAAGCTGGGGGCTCCCTGAGTTTACCTGAAAATGGAGGTGTGGGGGAAAACATGCAGGGGTGCCCAAGTCGGTGAGCCCTGCCCCGCCTCACTGTTACCCAGAGCCAGCCATGTCTGAGGCCCTCAACACAGAACACCTTCAGGGAACTGATGTACAAACTCACACCACCTCACACATACCAAGGGTTAAGCCAAAAGTTACCAATCAAAGGTTGGTGGTTTGAACCCACCAACGACTCTATAGGAGAAACATGGAACGTACTGTTCTTTTAAAGATTATAAGACTGTTAGGAGAACAAACAGGTTCGTGCTAGAGAGGGTGAAACCAGGGTGCTCCTTGGACACAAGGATTGTGAAGCTCCATCTGACAAACTTTGGGCATGTTGCAAGGCAGGACCAGTCCTTGTGGAGGGACGTCATCCTTGGGAGGGTGGAGGGACAGCAAAAGAGAGGAAGACCCTCGACGAGATGGACTGACTCAGTGACTGGGGTAACGGGGGTAGGTGTGTCAGACACAATAATGTTGGCTCAGAATAGAGCTGGGTTTAGGGGGGTTGTAACATAGGGTTGCTGAGAGCTGAAGGTGACCTGACGCTCATAACAACAACACAGCCTTCAATATTGTAATACAATTTTACTCGATGCTACAGGGTCAGAGTTGGAACTGACTGGGCAAAGGAACAGAAAGCCTTCAGGCCAGCCAGTCGACCTCTGGTTTTGGCCAGCTGTTCTGTGGACAAAGCGTCAAGGGGGAAGCCTGATCCGGACACAGTACTGCAAACAGAGGGAACACAGGTGGCCTCCCTTAGAGAAATGAGACTGGAGAAAGAATGCTGCTTCTCACGGCTCCCTGAAAGCAGCCGGGCGGCAATCAGGACACCTAACTCCAAACCAAAACTCCGACTCCAGGAAGGACAGCGTAGTCACCCCAAGAGTCTCCAAGGCTGTGATCTTTACAAAAGCAGAGCTGCTAGTGGAGTCGAACCACTCCTGTTAGCAGACAACAACTTTAAACACGGCAAACCCAGGATCCTCCGACATCACGAACCTGCCTAACCCGCACAGCGCCCTCAGGGACTCCTCACCCCGCTGGGGACCACGCCCCCCAGTGTTTTACCGCATGGAGCGAGTGCCCCACCGCGGCCCCGACCCTCCTCCGTGCCGCACGCGGTGGCGCGCCCCCCAGCCCGAGCTCCTAACCCGGTGCCGCGCCCCCCCTGCACCCCGAGAACCTCACCCGGTCGCGCCCCCCAGCCC